CCAGCACTTTGGGAGGCCAAGGCAGGCAGATCACCTGAGGTCAGAAGTTTGAGATCAGCCTAACCAACATGGTGAAATCCCATCTCTAATAAAAATATAAAATTATCCAGGTGTGGTGTCACATGCCTGTAATCCCAGCTGCTGGAGAGGCTGAGGCAGGAGAATTGCTACAACTTAGGTTGTAGTGAGCCAAGATCGTGCCACTGCACTCCAGCCTGGGCAATCTGAGTGAAACGCTGTCTCAAAAAAGAAAAGAAAAAAAGTACATTATTTGTTCTTGGAGCAAATCTTTGATGGCTGTTAAAGTAAATTGTATTTTCATAGTTGTCTTCCATCCCGGCCTCTTCCCCATTCCCTTAATCTGCATCTAAATGTTATGATGTCATTCTGAGAGTGTGTCATGGTAAGGGAGAGGGGGAAGGGAGACTTCATTGGCTGGCTTACAACTGCACGCTTTAAAGCAATATCAGCACCAAGAAATGTCAACCAAGAGTGGATTGTCTTTTCTCAGTCTTCACTAGAGGCCCAATTCAGCCTACCCTAACATAGTTCATTCAAAGATGCACATTCCCCACCCCCACATTCCACATTTTAACATCTCTGAAATTAGGATGTTTTTGACAATTAAGAGTGAATTTTGATTGGTAGAATTTTTTTTCTTTCTTTTTGAGACACAGTCTCACTCTGTTGCCCAGGCTGGATTACAGTGGCACAATCTTGGCTCACTGCAGCCTCTGCCTACCGGGTTCAAGCGATTTTCCTGCCTCTGCCTCCAGAGGAGCTGGGATTACAGGCACACACCACCATGCCCAGCTCATTTTTTTTGTATTTTTAGTAGAGATGGGGTTTTGCCATGTTGGTCTAGCTGTTCTGGAACTCCTGACCTCAGGCAATCCGCCTGTCTGGGCCTCCCAAGGTACCAGATTACAGGCGCACGCCACTGTGCCAGCTTTTTATCTTAGTGGTACCTATCTAGACTAATGACATCTTGGGCTGTATAAAATATTGTGAATTAAAAACAGTTCCCAGGGTGGGCACAGTGGCTCATGCCTGTAATGCCAGCACTTTGGGAGGCCAAGGCAGGCAGATCACCTGAGTTCAGGAGTTCAAGACCAGCCTTGGCAACATGGTGAAACCCCATCTCTAACAAAAATACAAAAATTAGACAGGCATGGTGGTGCGCACCTGTAATCTCAGCTACTTGGGAGGCTGAAGTGGGAGGATGGCTTGGGCCCAGGGGGTGTTGATTGCAGTCAGCCAAGATTGCGCCACTGCACTCTGGCCTGGGCGACAGAGCAAGACTCTGTCCCAACAAAACAAAACAAAAACACCAGTTCCCTACTCTCTTTCCAACTACATTGCTGACCCTACGCTCAACCTACCTAGAAATTCTGCATTCAGCCTTCCTCATATTTATCTTCTCCTAAGGAAAAGTTAATTTCTAAACCAAGAGTTCAGACACAAAATGTGATTCTGAACACCATTGTTCTTTGTCAAAAGTTACTCCTTTAGCCATATATAGGTCTATGTAGTCTGTGTTTTGCCAGAGATCAAATCTCTGTTAATCTGTGGGGGTTCACGCCTGTTATCCCAGCAGTTTGGGAAGCCGAGGCAGTTGCATTACTGGAGTCCAGGAGTTTGAGACCATCCTGGGCTACATGGCAAAACTGTCCCTAGAAAAAATACAAAAATTAGCCAGGCATGGTGGCGTGTGCCTGTAGTGCCAGCCACTGGGGTTGGGCGGTGGGAGTGGCAACAGGCTGAAATAGGAGGATCCCTCCAGCCTGGGAGGTCAAAGTGCAGTTCGGGCCACTGCACTCCAGCCTGAGCATCAGAGTGAGACCGTATCTCAAAAAAGAAAAAAGAAAAAAAAAATTGTTAATTATTCAAATTGTTTAGAATCAGAATGCAGCTCTATGCCAAGGAGCCCGCTTGGGAACTCCAGGAGCACAGAGACTATCCAGCGGAACTAAACAATGCCAGGTTTTTAAGACCTGTCAGTTAAAACTTTTCCACCATCCATTCAGGGTACTGGTGGTCTGAAACAATGGAATCATCAACGGCAGCGTCCCCAAACACCTCCGTCATACATTCAGGAACGCTGCTGCTTTTGACAACGCATTCAACGCATAGAAAGCCTGCGTGCGGGGAGGGTTCGGGGCTGGTTTCGAAGTGCGGTCAGGTGGTCTGTGCGCTAGCGTTGCGCGCTGGACAGATCCAAGGGCAGTAGAGGGGCCGTTCCCCATGTCCCTATGAAGACAAAAATCTCTTGTCCCTCAACACTAGACCCGACCAAGGTTAAGACACAGAGGCAGCGATAAGGGCGAGGGTGGGCAGGGGGCTAGGGAAAAGGGGCTGGCGAGGGGTCGTTCCAAATTTGGCATAACCCTTCCACCCGTAGGTAAATGGTCCTCAGATGAGATCCATTCCCTCCCGCGGGTCGGGGCCTCCGACGTAACAGAGCCTGCGCCAGGGTCTGAATGCTGACAATGGCCTGGGGGCTGGCGTCCTGGGCACTGGGCCTCTTACCAGCGGCTCGAGCGGGGTGTTTGTCACTGTTACGATGTTGTCCTTGTTCTCCTCTTCCTCTTCTTGTCCCTTAAATTGTTCCTTCTGTTTCTTTGTCTCCTTCCCTTGCTCTGTCCTCCTTTCCCTTTTATCCTCTTTTCTCTTACTCCTCTCCTGCTTCTCTTGCTTCTCCTTTTCTTTTTCCTTAATTTTCTGCTCCAACTCCTTTCTTTTGTCTTCCTTTTCCTTTTCTCTAATTTTCTCCTTCTCCGTCTCCTTTCCCTTCTCTTTCTTCTTCACTTTCCCTCTCTCCATCACCAGCGCCGCGGTTTCCTTCCCTCCTGCCGCGCGCCGGCGCTGAGCCGTGGCCTTGGGCCCCAGTGTGGCTCCCGCGGTGCACGCCCGGTGGAGACGTAGGCCCGGCGGCGTAGACAACCCGCTGGCGCCGCCAACCCGACACCGCCGCCCACCTCGCGGCTGGAGGGCTTCTCGCAGCCGATTCTCTGAACACGCAGGGGTACGCAGAGGAAAGGGTGGAGGTGTAGGGGATGGGGTGAGCCCAGGCAAGCGAAACCAAGAAGTGCCAGTCAGGACACGGGACAGCTCGGCGGGGCGGATCACTGCTGCAGGAAAAGCGTCCCTAGAGCGATTCCTTCCGGCCAGGCGGGGTGGCTGAGAAGCGCCTTTCACGCGGGCCGCATCCCAAGCGACTTTAGCGCCTGACGTCTCCGGCTTCAATCCCCAGCCCGGCCAGCCTACATGAGAACCCCTGGGGCGCCAGAGTCCAGAGCTTCCTGGGAGGATTCCCACCCCTCCCCCAGCTCGCAACCAAGAGCCTGCAATGCGAAGTCGTGTATTTCTCCGCCCTCTCCCGAGTAAGCTCCACTAGGAGGGTCTCCAGACTACTACCCAGGATTATTAGTTAGGGACAAATAGAAAGACGTGAACGGGTTCCATTATGTACCCGTTGTATTTTTTTTTTTTTTTTCTTTTGAGACGGAGTCTCCGTCACCCACGCTGGAGTGCAGTAGTGCGATCTCAGCTCACTGCAACCTCCCCCTCCTGGATTCAAGCGATTTTCCTGCCTCAGCCTCCTGAGTAGCTGGGATTACAGGCGTGAGCCACCACATCTGGCTAATTTTTGTATTTTTAGTACAGACGGGGTGTCACCATGTTGGCCAGACTGGTCTCGAATTCCTGACCTCAAGTGATCCACCCGCCTAGGCCTTCCAGAGTGCTGGAATTACAGGCATGAGCCACTGTGTCCGGCCTGTATTTCGCTTTCAAAAAAATTATTCAGACATGACACGCCAGGATCACAGCTGCTAGTAATGCCCGGTATTAAAACCAAAACTAAATAGTGTCGTCACTCCTAATTATTTAATAAATGGTAAATTAGGCACCCAAGGGGCTTCTCAAAGGTGGTATTGTTTCTCAAACTGGCTAAGAAATATCGGGAGGGTTCCTTTTATCTTGCTAAACTGAACTCTTTAGTATATTTCACAGTTTAGCACAATTTTTTTTTAATGTAATAAAACTTATTGTCCTTCATTATATCTGTTTCAAATAAACTCTTTTTGTTGTTGTTGTTTCAAAGAAACTTTTAAGGAATAATGAATGGCAGGTTCCGGAAGGCTTGAGTGATGCAATGTTTTTAAGGTTGGCTGTTCCCAATAGCACTGGAAATGCAGTGCTTAATCACTTTTCAAAGGTTTACTTCTGTTTATACATACACCAAGATGAATTTTCAGTCAAGTACAAAACTAATCTAATGGTGTTCTCTCAGTCCCATTAGAGGGGCAGTACACACAAGTTTGATACTCAGCTTAAAAGAAAATTCTTAGTTATACTAACCAGTAAGTCCTCCATAAAATGCCAACACCCAAAACACCTTAATCCATATTCACTGCTAAAATATTTTATTTTAAAATGTACCACAGTGAATGGATGTATCCATACTGGTTTTTATAAATGTACACATACACATCCATATATATGACAAAGTAGATATATGCACTGGTTAAAGACCTATTCAAAAGGAAATATTAGTAGAAAGTTCATGTGTTTATACTTCATTTGACAATTAAAACTTATTTGAACTGAAGTTTCAGTTGCTCAGCAATGACTAATAATACCAATGCCTGCCAATAACGACTAAATTGATAATTGTAAATTTCACTGCTGTGCCTTGGGTCAAAATTTTCAATGATGAAATCCTAAATAAGTTACAGTTATTCCTATAATGGGGTATATATTCAGATGGAATAAATATCTGCCACTGTTACCAAAAGATTGTTCTCTGTAGAGCTCAAAAAACTATTATGCTACAATACATCATTTGTATTTAAAAAGGATCTCTTGTTTAGATGCCACTGCAGATTCTGCTTATAATAAACAGAAAGGCAGCACCCCATTTCTTTCTTGTAAAGGAGGAAAGCCTTTTATAAAAAACTCTTTGAAGAAGTTTTGGTAGATATGTTCAGAGTCAAACACAGCAGCACTTTATTAACAAGGACAGAGTAATATAATCACAAGGAAATACTTGTAAGTCTAAATTAAATGATATCTTGGGCAGCATAAAATGAATATTAACAAGGGCAGGCATCCCAATGTATCTGTCTCACAGCTGTTCAATGTGAAAGTAGCTTGTAAGCAAGGAAAGACAAGAGCAACATTTACACCACAAATTGACTGTAAAATACTTCATTACATTGAGAAAGGTAATGAATGGTCAAATTCCATAACTAGAAAGAGACACCATTTGGGTATGTATCAATGAGCCAAACAGATCTGTTAGATTTTAATACTGCCTGGTATGCAACTCAGGTACCGATTTCCTCTTTATGTAGGAAGCCAATGTTCATGTTCTTGATAATAGTCATTAATCTTTCTGATTGAGACAGTCCAGACCCATCTGACCTCAGAACACCAGGTCTAAGAGTCAACTTCTTACAGTGATATATTTTCCTTGAGTTTGTTCATGGTACTAAATCAGTATGTTACCATAATCTGAAAATGACATAGGGCACAAAGGAGCCATATATAAATAGAAAAGTATCCCATATTCCAGTATCACATGACAGAAAATTTCAAATTTATGGTTAAAATTATTTAAGACATTTATTTTTCTTGTGGCCATTCATTTAATTAGTCGAAGAACATCAGTGTATTAAGAAGGTCCCTCTTTATCACATGATATTTCTAAGCAGATATTCTGGAATGCTCAGAAGATTCCACTTTCAGTCTCCTAAGGCCTCCTAAGACATAATTTAAAGTGGGACTTGAACAGAAGCAATTATCTTCAGACTCTAGCTGAAATAGAAGTAGTTTCTGTTTAAATCCTGGGAAACCTTAGATAAGGTTTGTGAAACTGAAAAAAGATCAAATCAGCACACACAGATAAAGGATACAACAGATACCAACATGGGTAAATGCCCAGTTATTTTCAGTCCTCATAACCTGTACAAAGCTATGAGGCAACCAATAGGCAGACTTTGAGGAAGATGTTTCCCTATTAGAAACACAAGAAATTATTTATGAAAATATGGAGATGAAGAGGGAGCAGTTCTGTGCTTCTTGCTGTGTTACCTTTATTATATTCCTAGTGTCACTGAGACTAGTTTAATAACAGCCTGCAACAAGAATATTCTCATCACCAGCCACCTTTTCCACCTTTCTTCTTTTTCTGTTGCTGTTTCTTTTTTGTTGCTGGAGCCCCTGCAGGTTTCTGGTGTCTTGGGGGTATGATGTTACTTGTAGAGGCAGATACTGTTGCTGCACTGCCAGGTCTTGGGGAGGTGGGTGGGCTGCTCACAGTTTTACTGGCATCCCTGAAACCATCAGATCAGATTACTTTTTGGTCACTCATATATTCAAAAAAGGAAGAATATAAAAATGTACGTACATGGGTTTTATCACACTTAACAATCTCCCACGCATTTTCCACTTCTTTTAAGGTAAGTTCCCTAACTCCTTATCAACTTTTCTTTTGAATAAAATTGTTACTGTTTTTATTGAAGAAAAGTAAAACATGGTACACATGCCAATTTTTAGAAAGCTTAGAAAATAAAAAATTTTATTTTCTTTTTAGACAGAGTCTCGCTCTGTTCGTCAGCCTGGAGTGCAGTGGCACCATCTTGGCTCACTGCAGCCTCCGCCTCCTGGGTTCACGCAATTCTCCTGCCTCAGCCTCCTGAGTGGCAGGGATTACAGGCGCACACGACCACACCTGGCTAATTTTTGTATTTTTAGTAGAGACGGTGTTTTACCATGTTGGCCAGGCTGGTCTCGAACTTGCAACCTCAGATGATCCACCTGCCTTGACCTCCCAAAGTGCTGGGATTACAGGTGTGAACCACTGTGCTTGGCCAGAAAATAATTTTTTTTTGAGACAGTCTCACTTTGTTGCCAGGCTGGAGTGCAGTGGTACAATCTTGGCTCACTGCAACCTCCGACTCCCTGGTTCAAGCTATTCTCCTGCCTCAGCTTCCCAAGTGGCTGGGATTACAGGCATGGGTCACCAAGCCCAGCTAATTTTTGTATTTTTAGTAGAAACAGGGTTTCATCATATTGGCCAGGATGGTCTTGATCTCCTGAACTTGTGATCCACGTGCCTCAGCCTCCCAAGAGCTGGGATTACAGGCATGAGCCACCACACCCGGCCTCAGAAAATAAAATTTTAAAATAACCTATCATCCACCATGCAGAACGTATTAACATTTCTAATACTTCTAGTCATACTATATTTATTTACATCTACTTACTAGATATTTAGTTGAATGACTCAGTGTATTTAGTTCCCTTTTGAGACTTTAGTTTTTACAACTAGTTTTAAAGTTTTACTACATATATTTCACAACATATATTTGATTATATTGTAAATATTTAAAACTATTTGACTGTATTATAAAAACTAAAGGAACTAGTCTGCAAAGGCAATGTATTTTCTTTCATTTATATAAGTGTAGTACAAACATTTATCAAAGATATATCACTACAGTTCTCATACGTACTTAATATATATTAACAAATTCTCACTAATGGTCTTGAGTCAATCTCAGAAACAATGTACGTTCTAAGTGCCCTCAATTGTGGAGCACTAACTTACAGTTCAGATGAAGCTCCTGCAGTTGCTCCCTGGGTCCCTTTTCCAATCTGATCCTTCTTTTTACCCTTCTTTCTTCCCCGGTAGTAAGAACGTTCTCGCATTGGCAGCCATCTTTCTGGATCTGGGGTAACTTTTGGGTCGTAATTCTTAGGCAATTTTCCTGCATAACAATTTTAAAGAAATGAGAGATGTGTCCATAGTATTTTCAAGATAATTTAAACAATGTGTCTAAGCCTGGGAATAAATAACATTAAAATTGAAATGAACTTATTTGAGATAGTTTAGTTTGTATAACCTAGCAGGGGAAAAGGCCTTATTTCTTTTTTTCTATACTTTTAAGTTCTAGGATACATGTGCAGAACATGGTTTGTTATATAGGTATACATATGCCATGATGGTCTGCTGCACCCATCAATCCATCATCTCTATTAGTTATTTCTTCTAATGTTATCACTCCCCAACACCTCCATCCCACGACAGGCCCCGGTGTGTGATGTTCCCATTCCTGTGTCCATGTGTTCTCATTGTTCAACACCCACTTATGAGTGAGGACATGTGGTATTTGGTTTTCTGTTCCTGTGTTAGTTTGCTGAGAATGATGGTTTTCAGCTTCATCCATGTCCCTGCAAGGGACATGAACTCATCCTTTTTTATGGCTGCATAGTAGTCTATGGGGTATATGTGCCACATTTTCTTTATCCAGTCTATCATTGATGGGCATTTGGGTTGGTTTCAGGTCTTTGCTATTGTGAACAGTGCTGCAATAAACAAACAAGTGCATGTGTCTTTATAGTAGAATGATTTATAATCCTTTGGGTATATACCCAATAATGGGATTGCTGGGTCAAACGGTATTTCTGGTTCTAGATCCTTGAGGAATCACAACACTATCTTACAAAATGGTTGAACTAATTAATACTCCCACCAACAGTGTAAAAGTGTATTTCTCCACAGCCTCTCCAGCATCTGTTGTTTCCTGACTTTTTAATGATGGCCATTCTAGCTGGCGGGAGACAGTTATCTCATTGCGGTTTTGATTTGCATTTCTCTAATGACCAGTAATGATGAGCTTTTTTTCATGCTTCTTGGCCACATAAATGTCTTCTTTTGAGAAGTGTCTATTCATATCCTTCAATCACTTTTTGATGGGGTTTTTTCTTGTAAATTTAAGTTCCCTGTAGATTCTAGGTATTAGCCCTTTGTCAGATGGGTAGATTGCAAAAATTTTCTCCCATTCTGTAGGTTGCCTGTTCACTCTGATAACAGTTTCTTTTGCTGTGCAGAAGCTCTTTAATTAGATTCCATTTGTCAATTTTGGCTTTTGTTGCCATTGCTTTTGGTGTGTTAGTCATGAAGTCTTTGCCCATGCCTATGTCCTGAATGGTACTGCCTAAGTTTTCTTCTAAGGTTTTTATGATTTTAGGTCTTACATTTAAGTCTTTAATTCATCTTCAGTTAATTTTTGTATAGTAAGGAAGGAGTCCAGTTTTATTTTTCTACATATAGCTAGTGAGTTTTTTCAACACCATTTATTAAATAGTAAATCCTTTCCCCATTGCTTGTTTTTGTCAGGTTTGTCAAAGATTAGATGGTTGTAGATGTGTGGCATTATTTCTGAGGCCTCTGTTCTGCTTCATTGGTCTATGTATCTGTTTTGGTTACTGTAGCCTTGTAGTATAGTTTGAAGACAGGTAGCATGATGCCTCCAGCTTTGTTCTTTTGGCTTAGGATTGTCTTGGTGACAGGTGCTCCTTTTTGGTTTCATAGGAAATTTAAAGTAGTTTTTTCTAATTCTGTGTAAGAAAGTCAATGGTAGCTTGATGGGGACACTGAATCTATAAATTACTTTGGGCAGTACGGCCATTTTCACAATACTGATTCTATCCATGAGCATACAATGTTTTTCCATTTGTTTGTGTTCTTATTTCCTTGAGCAGTGGCTTGTAGTTCCCTTTGAAAAGGTCCTTCACATCCCTTGTTAGTTGTATTCCTAGGTATTTTATTCTCTTTATAGCAATTGTGAATGGGAGTTCACTCAGGATTTGGTTGTTTGTTATTGGTGCATAAGAATGCCTGTGATTTTTGCACATTGATTTTGTATCCTGAGACTTTGCTGAAGCTGCTTATCAGCTTAAGGAGATTTTGGGCTGAGATGATGGGGTTTTCTAAATATACAATTATGTCATCTGAAAAGAGAGACAATTTGACTTCCTTTCATCCTATTTAAATACACTTTATTTTATTCTCTTGCCTGATTGCACTGGCCAGAACTTCCAATACTACGTTGAATAGGAGTGGTGAGAGAGGGCATCCTTGTCTTGTGCCGATTTTCAAAGAGAATGCTTCCAGCTTTTGCCCATTCAGTATGATATTGGCTGTGGTTTGTCTTAAATAGCTCCTATTACTTTGAAACAGGTTCCATCAATACCTAGCTTATTGAGAGTTTTTAGCATGAAGGAGTGTTGAATTTTATTGAAGGGGGAAAAGGCCTTATTTCTAAGCATGAAAAAGAAATTCAGAGGCCATAAAGAAAGACTTCACAGATACACATACAAAAATTTTAAAATTTTCAATTACTAAAAAATATATTTCTAAGAAAAATTTAAAAGACAAACTATATAATAGAGGAGTGGATAAAAATCTTTAAGATAAAATTCTTGCTGATCAATATGTAAATCACTCAAAGAAAAACGGACTCAGTTATAATTAAGGTATGCCAGGAGAAAGGAAAGTCATTCATTTTCTGAATAGATGTTCACTCTCATTAACTAAAAATGAGAAGGGTAAAAAACCCCATCAGACTTATAAATATTAAAAGCAGTAATACCCAGTGTTGGTGAAATGGTGAGAAGCACTCACCAACACTACACTAGGGGAAGTGTATGCTGATATATAGCCTTTGTGGAGAGCAATTTAATCTGGCAGTGTCATTCAAAATTTATAGACTTCTAGAAATTTATCCTGCAGAAACCCAAAGTATACAAAGTTACAGAATATTCTCTGTGATATTTTTTCTTTTCTTTTTTTTTTTGTTTAAATTTTTTTTTTTTTTTTTTTTTTTTTTTTTTTTTTTTTGGTTTTTTTTTTTTTTTTTTTTATTTTTTTTTTTTTTTTTTTTTTAAAGTTGGATGGGGGAAAAAAAAAACAAGAAAAAGAAAAAAAAATAAAGTTGGATAGGGCAAGGTATGGGTGGGCTAATATTCTTTAAGATAGCAAAATAACTTAAATATCTATTACATTATAATATGTCCACACTATGTATAGCAAGCTATACAATTGGGATAAAAAGTGAAGTGTATCTATAATAATTTGCAACAACTGGATTATTCTTCACAATCCAGTCTAAAATAGAAGATTCAAACAAATTATATTATGTTCACAACAATTTTATAAAAACTTTGAGTACCTAATGATGTAATTATATATTTGATTCTATATATACAAAAATACACATACACAAGTTAATTGTCTCTGGGAGCATACTCCCTCCAGAGTAGCTGGGATTATAGGTGCACAGGACTACCACCCATCTAATTTTTGAATTTTTAGTAGAGACCGGGTTTCACCATGTAGCCCAGGCTGGTCTTGAAGTCCTGACCTCAAATGATCCATTTGCCTCATCCACCCAAAGTGCTGGGATTACAGGTGTAAGCCACCAAGCCAGGCTGGGAGCATGAATTTTGAACAGGTAATTTCGCTCTCTTTATGCTATTCTATTAATAACAGATATAAACTACCTTTGTTTTCTTTTTTTTACAATAATCATACCTCACTTGTAAATTTTAAAAATATTCATCTGGAAACTACAGAAGTAGAAAAGAAAGTAAAGTTTTAGGTTATTACTACCTACAGTTATCAGCTGTTTCCTCACAGTATTACTAATACACAAAACAAATATTAAATATTTGCCAATTTTCAAGTACTGTGACAAAAGAACCAACAAGACTTCTAGTTAGACAGTGAAGTGAATACAAACATTAGCTTGTGTACCCTCCTCGAACTCCACTAAAATGGTAATAAACTCCTAGAAGAACAGGAGAAAAGATATTTTGGTAGCTGGAAAACAGATGAAGGAGTGGTAATAAACTTAGCTTAGACTTGAGAAACCTGTATCCTAAGATGGCAGGGAGCAAAATCAAGAAACAACCTAATTTATATCATAGATTCCTCAAAAACTGAGGAACTTGGGTGGCTCCAAGGATTACCTCTGACTAGGTAAAACAAAGCATGGTAATGCCACCCAATGTTGCCAGAGATTAAAACCACACCCTAAGCCAATCAATGCATGTTATTTTTCTGGTTAATAATTCAAGGCTGAATACTGATCTAGTTAGCCCAATCAGATTAATGAAAAATACTTGCCAAGTCTGGAGAGGCCTTCTTTGTTGTGATGGTTATAAATGACAAGTATATGGCCCTGACTGTTTCCAGTATACACTGTATGACTCTAATGGGATTCTGTTTTATGGACAGCAGAACAAAGTGATACAAATACTGAATCCACCAACCTTGATGCTAACATTCCTTCAGTCTGCCAATTTTGTAAACAGTAAATTTTCTTAAGCCAGTTTGATGGAATTTTGTAGTATGTGTAGCAGAAACATCATAATGAGTACTTTTGTCCCAGACACAACTCTAAGAACTTTACATGTAGTATCTCATTTCATATTACAAGGTATAAACTATCATATTTCATTTTACATATGAATAATCTTTAAAGTAATAGAATAAAATTAAATGTTAGCTGTAGTCAAGATAAAAAGTTTTCAAAGATATAAGAGAGGGCAGTATATTTATGTCCAAGTATTTCTACATAGGGCTAAAATCAAACAATTATCTTGCAGAAAGAAATCTATATAAAGACTTTTTTTAAGGCCTTACCCTTCTTTTTCTTTTTCTTCTTTTTCAAATCTCCCTGTCTACGAAGAGAAAAAAAAATCATTACCATCTTTGTGATAAAATATTTATAGAGCATTAAGTAAGTGCTCTATAAAACAGTTAGCTGGGCACTTATCATAAACATGGGTTAAGTTTTGGTATCAGCTCACCAAGCTAACAAACAAGTTAAGATTTAAGATTTGATTCAGGTTAAAGTCAATTAAGCTTTAGATACTATAATTTTTGGAAGGTAGTTTAGAAAACAGAGGTGACAATTTGAAAACAGATTCGGTTTACATGGAAAAAAATTTGTCAGTGGCACATATTAAGTCTATGTAAAAAGTAATTTGCACAAGCATGTATATCTATAATCCCTTGGTAAGTTACTCTACTTTTGGCAAGACTTTAGGGAATAAATTTTTTTGCCAGAAGAATATGTATAGGTAAAATACATGCAAAGAACATCTCTGGAAGGAGATGCAAAACAAGTTACATTTGTTATGGCCCTGGGAGGGAAGAGGGTAGATAAAGATGCAAGACTTTTTACTTCCTCTTACACTTTATCTTTTGTATTTTAAAACTGTGTTTATTAATTTTTTATATAAGTAAAATCCATAAGTACACTGACCAAAAAAGGTACTGAAAGGGCATAAAAATAAGCACTTCAAAATAATTGTCAAGCATTCTGAAAGTGGCTTGGTGCCACTTCTGTAATCCCGGCACTTTGGGAGGGAGGCTGCGGCCTCTCTGAAGTCAGAAGGTATCTCCTGAAGTCAGAAGTTCCACACCAGCCTGGCCAACATAGTGAAACCCCGTCTCTACCAAAACTACAAAAATTAGCTGTGTGTAGTGGCACGTGCCTGTAAGCCCACCTACTAGGGAGGCTGAGGCAGGAGAATCGCCTGAACCCAGGAGGCGGAGGATGCAGTGAGCAAGATCACGCCACAGCACTCCAGCCTAAGCAACGGAATGAGACTCTTAAAAAAAAAAAAAAATTCTGAAAGCTCTAGTAAGAGAAAGACATAAAAATATATATCTCTTTATATACTCTTATGTGATATAACTAAAGAAATATGAAACAGTGAAATAAAAACATGAGACAGCAACAATTTCTATCAAAAATTCACTCTACAAGTCATTCAATTGTGAAAGTTCTCTTAGGATACCCCAAATAAGAAATGGTGTATCTGACTTGACTGTTTCATCTCTTACCCAGACTGTGTAATAGTATTCTTTTAATTGTCTTCCCTACAAATTACACTCCACAGCCATACTAACATATCCCAAGGGTATTCTGCCACTTCTTATTTCTTTGCCTTTGCTCACCCTTTGCCTCCCTTGTCCTCCTCATCTTCCTCAGAGTCAACACAATCATGTTCTCTATGAAGCCTTTCCTAACTTCCCACTGTCCTCAGGAAGACCTGACTATTCCCTTTGGTATACTCCTCTATGCCCTGTACAATTACAACAGGTGTAACCTTTACTGAAGTTACTGTTTAAATATATTATTTCCTTTTGCTAGACTCAAGTTCTTTTTTTTTTTTGAGGGAGTCTTGCTCTGTCACCAGGCTGGTGTGCAGTGGTGCGATCTTAGCTCACTGCTACCTCCACCTCCTGGGTTCGAGTGATTCTCTTGCCTCAGCCTTCTGAGTAAGTGGGATTACAGGCATGTGCCACCACCCCAGCTAATTTCTGTATTGTTAGTAGAGATGTGGTTTCACCATGTTGTCCAGGCTGGTCTCGAATTCCTGACCTCAAGTGATATGCCTGCGTCAGTCTCCCAAAGTGCTGGGATTACGGGAATGAGCCACCACGCCTGGCCTCAAATTATTTTGAGAGCAAGGACCATGATTTATTTTCTGGTCAACACCTCACATAAACCTATCACATAGTGTATTGTTAAAAGAAACTAATAAAACTTTGCATCTAAAATTTAGTATAACAAAATACTAACTTTTAATAAGAACAAAGAGCATTAATAATATCTAATGAAAATACTGTGCTGAAACTTAAAAGTTTAAAAAGTCAATGTCTTTCTTAATGATTGTCTAAGAAAAAAGAGAAGATTTTTAAAAACTTTTAAAAAACCATTATTATTATTTTTAGAGACGGGGGTCTTGCTCTATCACTCAAGCTGGGGTGCAGTGGGGTAATCATAGCTCACGGCAGCCTCAAACTTCTGGGCTCAGGTGATCCTCCCACCTCAGCCTCCCAGTAATTGGGACTATAGTTAAATGCCACCATGCCAGGCTAAAGGAGGAACTGTGTGTTCTTAGTAGCTACGCAACCCTGTTTGGTGGAGAAAAAAAATAGTAAACATATTTAAATAGTTATAATTGAAAATCCATTTAAGATCCAGACTGAATTTATAATTTTATAAAATGGAATTTAGAACAATGTAACCTATTTGAGACTCCAATTCCTTATTAAAGGTTTTAGTAGTTATTATGAGAATGATAATGCTTTTTATGAAATGCAGTTTGTTATGAAGAAATCAATCGTTGCTGTATTTTTTTTAAGTTCAGAAAAAATTTAGATATCAAAAGGCATTCAAAAAAGGAGAAAGCAGTAAAAACTTACAAAAGTCACAAAACTAAGGAAATGTTTTATCTTTTCCATGCTCTATTCATTCTGCGTCAAAAGTAAAACCTTAAACATTTTACCGTAGGTCTCTGCTAACTGTATTTTTAAGATGACAATGTAAGAAACAAGGCAAGAGTAAAAATCTGACTTGTTAGTAAATGAAATCGACTTTTTCTTCAAATCAGCAAAATAAACTATATACTAAATGATGTACTAAATGTACAATAAATTACAAGTAAAGGAAGGCACATCCAGCCTATGACATGTTATGCATAATAAAGAGGAAATATGCCTACATTTTAGTTCATGGAAAGATCTCTAAAACTCATTAAATAAAAGCAAGTTAGAAAACACCAAGTACAATACAATCCTCCTTATAAAAAGAACAACTAGGCGTGGTGTCCAGCACTTTGGGAGGCTGAGGTAGGTGGATCACTTGAGATCAGGAGTTTGAGACCAGCCTGGCCGACAGGGTGAAATCCTGTCTCTACTAAACATACAAAAATTAGCCAGGCATGGTGGTGCATACCTGTTGTCCCAGCTACTCAGGAGGCTGAGGAAGAACTGCTTGAACCCGGGAGGTGGAGGTTGCAGTGAGCCAAGACTGTGGCACTGTACTCCAGCCTGGGAGACAGAGCAAGACTCTGTCTCAAAAAATGAATAAATGAATGAATAAATAAATAAATAATAAATCTAGAGAAAGTATTTGAGGCTAGGCGGCTCACACCTGTAATCCCAGCACTTTGGGAGGGCAAGGCGAGGAGATCAGGAGGTCAGCAGTTCAAGACCAGCCTGGCCAACACAGTGAAACCCCATCTCTACTAAAAATATAAAAATAAGCCGGGCGTCTATAATCTCAGCTACTCAGGAGGCTGAGACAGGAGAATCATTTGAACCCAGGAGGCGGAGGTTGCAGTGAGCCAAGATTGCACCATTGCACACCAGCCTGGATAACAGGGCAAGACTTCATCTTGAAAAAAAAGAAAAGAAAAGAAAAAGAAAATATTTGTAAACCACTTGTGTGTGTAAACACAAAGAAAAACTTCTGGAAGAATACATTAAATTAATACCAGAGGTTAATTTTGGGCTGAAGGAAAAAGGGAGGAAATAAGGACCAAGAGCTGGGTACAGTGAAAGAAAAGGAAAAGAAACAAAGAGAACCATAACTTTATTCACATGGAATTTTTATGAGAATGTATATTTTATTCTTTGTCTAATGCAAAATGAGCATTAGAGAACGTTACAATGAAAAACATACCCTTGTTCCTTTGGTTGACTATCTCCGGTAACTTTTCCACCCTTCTTCCGAATGTATGTAGCACCAGGAGAATTTTCAAGAGCCTCAACATCTACTTTGAGAGACATACTATCTGACGATGGCAAGTGTTTACTAAGACTGTGATAGAACAGGAGTTCAGGAACATAAGATACACACACACATTTATATAGATGTCTATGTCTGCCAATATAGCTATTGAAACTGGAAGACTGTCTTTTCTTGATGACCTTCAACAAAAGCAAAAATTTTCGTAAATCTTCTATACAATAACAATTGCAAGTCCTATCAATACAGTATTCTGAAAGGAGACATGAAGGGTCATAATCTAATCCTCTATTACTTAACTCAGTGATGTGGAGCAAGGTGGTGGATTAATACAAACTCCATTCCAAAACAACTATCAAGTTTACGACTTGTGACTGCTTAGCATCCACCAACCCACCACAGTTTCAGGAACACACACTGATTACATTAGCACATATGATCCAAGCTGAATCAGGGCACTGAATTCGTTTATCATGTAACTGCCTGAGACAAGCAAGTGACCTAAGTAGTTGAATCTGAAAATAACATTTCAGAATCACGTGAAACTACCCACAAAAAGTATGCTTTTTCTTTTCCTTGCTGCTGAACTTGAACCTGAAAGAATAGAGACTATACCCTTTTGACTTCATTTTTGCTTCCGGATGAAACTAAACCCCAAGTTGGATCTATTGCTGCATTTTTCAATCACACTGATCAATAAATTCTCATTTTTGGTTTTACTAGTTAAAAGGAGGGTTTGTTAGTTACAATTTACAACTGAAAAAGCTCTGGTCAAAACACAGATACTAAAAGAGACCTACCAGGCTACTGAGGAGCTGTATGGAACTGTATAGAACAACCACCAAAAGGATACGCTTTGGCTTTCTCTGGATCTACAAGTGAGTAAGCAGAAATAAGCTGTGCAAGGGTGTGAATATCTTTTGGATTTTGTCTAAAAGAAGAAATAAGAAAATTACTGAACAGTTTATAAAACTGGAGAAAGTAATATAAACAAGTAACTCCCTCATATCAACTAGCAACAGTAAGTGTGTTATTTCTACATGTCCACATTTTAGAGCTTACTTCCATAGCTGTTCTAGGTCACTAATTGCCTCCTTCTTCCGCCCATATTTGAGTTTGAAGTTTGCAGCTTCTCTTATCAAGGACAAATGAGCAGCAGATTTGGGCTACAGTTTCAATAAAGAGGAAAAAAAAGTTTCAAGCTAAACGTCTAGCAAGTAAATGCAGTTATATTCATTAGACCTTTAAGAAATACACCTATGCATTAGATTGCTCATCTTAAGTTTCATTGAATGCCTAAAACAACAAAATCATTCACATATGTACAGGAAAGCAGATGGACAAATTATCAATTGTACAAGTAATCATCAATTGATGAATTTGGAAAACAACCTATCTCTATTTAGGGTATCTACAACTGGAAACATAGCCCTATAATAATCAAATCTTAAAGATATGCCACCATCATTCTCAAACATTAATTTAATATAATACTTTCCCAGAGCACTGATGCCCCTCCACTGCTAACAGTACTAACAATATAAATGCCACCTGTGTGTATGTATATTTGTAAGTTGGATACTGCCCATGCAGAGATCCATACTGGAAATAAAGATATTCCTACTAGATAGAGACATGATAAACAACTATTCCATGTATTACTGTTGTGCTACTACCACTCATGGACTCTCTAGCTATTTAGGATGAGCTCTTAAACATGCAATCATGTACTATTACTATTCTTATTCTTGAGATTATATACACAAATGCATGTAAACATACAGTAAGGTGCTTCAATAAACATAAATAAGCTATTTCTTTTTTCTATTTGCAGCCATTGCTTACTTCTAATAACTTAATTTGGATCTGGTATACTGAAAAAAATGAACTTGATAGTCTAAATGGTATTTCACTTTTGAAACAGTGAGGTTTAATACTTCAGTTTGCCTAAAATTGTTCACTACTACATCTTTATTTTTAGGTAAAAACATGCCTTCATAACATTTTACTCCACCTATTTACCTGATGGCTTTGATACCACTGGATAGCTTGTGTGAAGACCTCAATGGCACTATCAATATCTTCTTCATGACTATACATGGTCACTAATGCAGATACCTACACAGCCAAAGGTATAAATCAGTGAATTCCCCCTTCACTCCCAGAATACCATGTTCGAAAATAAAAAACACTGAAGAAATAGCAAATAAAGGCCGCTAGTATCTGATTTATCATAAAAACTACTCCCTTTAGAGAATATCGTCCCTTTACTTCTAGAAATACCATGAACAACGGTGTTTTCCAAATATGAAGGTAGTTATCTGTAAAATAAACCTTTCCTTAAAGCAGTGCCAGTTCACAAATGGTTTGGTAAGTACAGAAGTTGAGAATAAGCCCTTAGAAATGTTTATACAATAAGACACTGCTGGACATTCAATGTACGATCAGTGAGGTATAAACAGAGTGGCTGAACTCTCATGATGAATCCCACACGGCCTAAGTTGCTTCAAGCCAGTAAGAAAGTTGCCTAGTGTGGCTGAGGGACAGGAAGGAGGCATATACAGCTGAAGTGGATGGGGAGGGGAATGATGAGCAGTAGGAATTGGATAGAAAAAAAAAAAAAACAAAACAT